GTATATTTCCATTATCTAACCTGTCATGAAATATTGGATTTGTTTTAATACCATAATCGCCTGAAACAGCTTCACTAGAAATCTTAATTCTGAATTCTTAAACTCCTATGGGACCCAATTTCTTTGTTCAAGGTTGCTTTGGTTTTGCAAACGACTGATGAGGACTATTTGTCAGCTGTGGCAGTAGTTGTACACACACACAGTCACTGCATTTTAGTGTTTCCTGTGAAGCTCTTAGGGAGGACATTCTGAATTGCAACATCCATGAAGCCTAGAACCTAGTGATGATACCTGTTCAAGTTTGTCAGCCAGAAAAGTCCCTCAAGAAATAACTATTGCCCCATTGACGAATTATCTTTATTTATAGCTGGTTTAATATTAAACAATAGATGGTTAATAGTTCAAAGTTTCCTATTTATTTCACATTGGGTAGGAGGAGGTTAAGGAATTCATGTTCAGTGCTCTGAATTGCATGTTTTCAGTATGGGAATGGGGCAACATTGGTCCCTGAATTTTCAATGAATGCTCCATAAAACAGACTCATTTTATAATTCCTTGCAGTGCTGGTATTTTCTTGCTGTCTTATTGTCACTTTTTTTATAAGTTGTTTGGCAATGAATGTCTATCAATATGCCTAGAGGATCCTAGAATATGGAATTGTGCACTGAGACATAAATGGCTTTCCTGGTCTTTGCAATAAATACAAATACTGTTAATAGGTAGAGGTCGATCCTAAGATCTAGTTTCATTTAGCTGTTGGTCTATTCACCAGATGTCTAAACAATATATTTTTTTCATTTTATATAGCATTGTACAGATCGGGAGGAATTCTTAAAAACTGCTTGACAATGCTAGCTGAGTATCTGAGCTGGGATGGGGAGATGGAGACTAAATCAGTATGGAAGCCAAAAGCCATAGCCTTAACAGGTTGAGTGGTTCTAGCTGGACAATCAGTATGAAGCTAGAGACAGTGCTTTCAATAACAAGCTATTCAATTTTAGCTGGTTAAACTCTTTTAACAGTACCCCAAAACAACTTCTGGGGTCCTCAGGTGTTGACTGTTGCCAACCTGCATCTAATATGCACCAGAATTAGGCAAGTACTGTGTGTCCTTCTGGGGAGAGAGTGCACATTCCATTCCAGATAAGGAATTTCCATGTTTAGGTGACATACATAGAAGGAACTCTGTCTGGTTTAGATATTTTTAATATATCCTATCATGGCAATGGGTTTCTTTATGTGTTGGAGACACCCAGCTGACCAAAAAAAAACACACGTAAATGATCCTGATCCAAGTAGTAATAATAAAAATAATCCTTGCATTTGTTATGGCTCTTTATCACATCAACATCTCAATGTTCTTCACAATGTTTTCTGTAACGTATACTGACTGTATTTGTAGCCACGGTACAACATGATACCGGAAGAAAACGGTAGCACCAATGTCCCACAAACAGTCAAATTTTACCACGCAGACTGTTGGCCAAGACATCAGAAGAAACTCTGGTGGTTCATGTCATGGGATCTTTAACATCCAGTTGAACAGGCAGACAAATCGTGCAGTGACTGTGACAATGCATGCTCCTTCTTTCTACCCACCCACCCATTTCCAGCAATTGTATTGTAGAGTACTAGTCTGCATTTAGTACCTTATCCAGTTTCCTGTGGCTTAGTGATTAGAGCACTCACCTCGCAATCGAGAGGACCTGAGTTCAATTCCCCGGCAGGGCAAAACTTTAGGCAAGTTTCCTTACCCCTAGCAGTAAGTAGGAACCTGGTTGTTAGTCGATTGTTGGATCACTTTCCAATGGTAAAAATCCCTTCAAAAATAAATAATAATAATGATTTGGTCACTCAATCCACGCTGTTTGTGGGACACTGCTGTGTGTTATTGGCTGCCGTGTTTTGCCCACAAAATATGCAGTCAATTCAATTTACAGTATATCCTATGAAGCGCTTTGAGCCGTCTCAAAGACGTGATATTTGCTATATCAAATGTAAGGATTATTATAAACACAGAAGTCGCTGGGAACACACAGCAGGTCAGGCAGCATCTGTGGAGAGAGGAAAATGAGTTAACGTTTCAGGTCACTGATCTGTGTGTTCCCAGTGACTTCTATTTCCAGCATCTGCAGTACTTTGCGTTTTGCAAGGATTATTATTATTATTTTATACAATTGAAAACACTTTTGTTAACACTTTTGTGGGCTACTTTTCAATCACTATTGTCTTATAAGTGATGACTCGCATCTGAAAACTAAAATCCTACCCATTTGGGAATGTTGTCGAATCTCACTGAGATCTGAGGGAGGTTAATGTTTACACTTCCAGCTGCCTTTTGAGACTCCAGAAGTTTTTTTAGTGCTAATAGGTGGGAGTTCAGAGTATGAGATCCTTTACTAGTTTAAAAGGTTGCCACATATTGGTGTGTGTGTAAGAACATTGCTGTTGAGTGACTTGCCCTGTGTGTTTACCATTTTCTTTCTCACTCATTTTCTCTCCTCCTTTGCCTTTCCCAAGTATTTATCTCTTGTTTCCTTCAGCCTATGTCATGTGGTGACATGGATCCTACATGCCTTGCCCAGGTATCCATTATTAATGCAAGTTGTTGTTGTTATAGTTAATGCTGCTTATCCCTCGCACCCTCCGCTCCACTATTGGAGGTTGTGCTTTTAGTCACTAAGCCCCAAAACTTTGGAACACTCTCCCTCAATCCCTCCGACTTGCTCACTCTCTCCCCTTTTTCAAGTCTTACCTTAAGACCTTCCATTTTGACCGTGCTTATGGTCACCTCACCCCTGGCTCGGAGACTGGCTCTACCTTTGTTAAGCGTTCTGAGACGCTTCCCTGCATGGAGGGTGCTATACAAGTGCAAGCTGCTGTTGTTAATCTCAGCCAGGGAAGCAATAAGGATGCTAAAATTGCCTAAAGCACCCTGGACAAGTGAGATGAAATATCAGTCATTGGTCTGACCCCTGGTAGATTTTTATCCCGTGGCAACTGCTGGGAAATGTGTATGTGAACAATATGAGCTGCTTCATTGTGAATCTGCGTACAAAACTTCTAGACTTGTAAATCAAGAAGGTCCTCGTACTGGGATTGATTGCACAGGAAGGAACCAGTTTTAAGACTACTTTCAGCACAAAACTCATGATTGCAAAATTAGGACTACCTTCATTGTTTGCTATCCCATTGTAAAACAAACTAGGCTTTTGTTCTGAAATAGTTAAGGGACATTCTTACTGAAAGCTTGCATGTGAACAGGTAGGTGGAGCAAGACAGTTGAGCAATAGACGAACAACACATTTGAAAGGATTAAGTTTTAAATTGAGCACAGTTAAGAATGTTAAACCTTAATTATTGTCCTAATAATAATAATCTCTTAATTTGATACAGCGCCTTATCACGTTGTTGAGATATCTCAAAGCGTTTCACAGGATACACTGTAAAGTGTAGTGACTGTGTATTTTGTGGGCGAAACGTAGCAGCCAGTTGAGCACAGTAGTGGCCCACAAACAGTCGTGGATTGAAGTGACCAATTTATTATTATTTATTTCGAAGGGTTTATTACCCCTAGAAAAGTGATTTGCCAATCAACTAACAAGCAGTTCCTACTTATTGCTAGGTAAACAGAGGCTTGTGGAGTAAGGAAACTTGCCCAACATTTTGCCCTGCTCGGGAATCGAATCCAGGTCTCTCGCTTGCGAGGCGAGTGCTCTAACCACTGAGCTACAGGACTCCATATATATTTCTAAACACAATGACCATTGTTCTTCTATGTGCCATTTTAAATCCTGTTTTTCAATGGAATTGGATATTTATCCTGTAACTTCCAAATGCACAATTCTTTTGAAAAATTATAATATTTAATGTGGATAAGCAGGGGGAATGTTTCCTCCATTTCCTATCCACATTTGATTGGTTTCTATAAAGCTCCAGACCAAAATTCTGTTTCCGCCATTTACATCAAACAGTAAACTAATGATGTGAGAGATCAAATGTCTTTACTTATGAGCAAGAAGTGAATTGGCACAGTTGTAGGTTGAGTTGCCAATCACATTTGTATATGGTAATTTTGTGCAAAAAGGCTCTATGTTGTGTTGTATGAACGTTGCCTTGTGATGATGTGTTCCAATATGAATCAATGATTTTAATCATATTTAGATTCTCTGTTGCTTGGAAGTGACGGTGATGTACTTCAATCCACTTTGTGTGCTTTTTCTATTCTCGTTATGGCACATTTCCTTGTTTTTCTTTGCCCACTCCACAATTTTCATTTTTTCTCAGTAAAATATATAGGTTAAGAACAACTCTTTAATCAGAGGCATGTGCAAATCCATGATTTGTATTTTTTGCCATTTACTTATACAGTGCATGTTACCATAGATAATTATAATGTTGCTGTATTCATGTTGTATGTTGGTTCTTAATCTTGGCGTGGTATTTTGTTGATTACGTTGCCTGACTAGAATACACACCCTTTCTGGGGTTTGGCTGCAACTTGTTCCATGGAATTCACACTGGAATATACAATTGCTACAATAGTACAAAGAATGTAATGATCATAGAGGTTTGTGACGATATCAGTAATCTGACCTATTTGTAAGTAAGAAATTTCTCTAAGCTCATTTATAAAGAGCAAAGGTTCAGACTTCATATTGAGATCTGGAAATTTTTAAGTGAATATGTTTGTGAAACCTAACTGATTATTTGACTTAACAAAACTTGTCATGAATAGTAATCTTTTAAATAGTCAACATCATGAAGGTATATGCAACTTGGTGGATTTATAGAACTATTGAATTTCTCCAGTGTAATGTATTGAATTACCTGGTGGTTTGATATTTGTTTAACAATGTTGTTCAGACCTCAAAAGCCTAAAACTAAAGAGGGATTAGACGAGCACTGGTCATTAAATATATACAATAACTTACATTGTAGTTTAGGATTGTATTGGCAAACGTTTCTGAAGTATTGCTTTTTTTNCCATGTGTACATAGGATGTGACTGGGATAAGATTTGGAAACAAAGATTTTCGATCAGCCCTGGAGAATGGAGCCTTGCTCAACGAGTAAGTAAAGTATCTAGAATTGTTTAAAAGTTTCTTATTGTGGAATTATAAAGCATCACAGTTGGATATCAGCATAGCCTTTTTTTATGATTTCACTTTGATTTTTCATCATTTAAAAATGGTAATCTGTTTGGTATAAATTTGCAATGTGGCTAAGCTCACGCATTTCATGTAACAATATTTTTGAGTGCAGATACTGTAACAACCTGCACTGAAGTCTGCAGCAATATAGTAATTAGGAGCAATATAGTAATTAATTATTATTACACTTGATACACTGAAGCATCACTGCTCCTTATTCCCTCACTTATCCCTCTTTTTCCTTCCTCCTCACATATACATTATTTTCTTTTAAATGGATTAATGTAACAAAATAGGGTATAGTGCCTTTCATTTTTGGGAAAATGTCTCAGGACCTTTAAGAGAATATACTGTTAAGTGTAGCGACTGAATATTTTGTAGGTGACATAAGTAGCCCATTGATACACGACAATGTTGTACAAACAGCTATGAATTGAATAATCAATTCTAATTGGGAGATTGTTGACCACGAAACCAGAAGAAACACAGAAGAATAGTGCCATGGGATCTTTAATGTCTACCTGAGCAGGCAAATAAATTAACACTGGTGGGACCAGATGCTTTTTTCCCCCTCCTCTCTGAATATGCTAATTTAACAACAATATTAGATTATTGGCTTACTTGTGCATGATTTGGGCTATAGTTTAACACTAAGTAAATATACCTGCAAGGTAGTTTATGAAGCTGAGATGATACTACACTACACTTTTATGGAGGTGTATTCTGTTTCGAAAAACAGGCTTCATATATACAATATATTACTGCTGCTTGTCTTGGGTAGAAACAAAGCATTCTTTCATACAAGAGACATGAAATAAACTGATAACATTATCAGAGGGAAAGTTGGAGTTTTATGTGTGTATGAATTCTTTGGACTTTGTTCTGAAATAAAATCGTGCATTTTATTGCTGATACATTATGAAGGCCAGGACGGTGAACATATGGAAAATTTCTTCAACGTAAAACAAAGTAATACTGGTCTTTTTTTTTAAAGTTTTCAAATTTTCATTTTTTTGATCAGGTCGGGGGGCTCCAAATTCCTCTTACATTTGAATGTGGTTGATCTCCAGTGCAGGATAACAAAGATTTGCACATGCAGAATAGAACCAACTCCATGTCCAACTGCATTAAAATTATGCATAGAACTCGAGAATGTTTAACTGCAGCAAGAGCCATTTAGCCCATCCTATCTCTGCTGGTGCTAGCTCCCCCACTGGAATTAACCTTTCCCTTGTACTTTTCCTCAGTATTTATCCATTTTAAATGCTCAAGTCAATTTTATGGACTCTGCTGCAACAGGATTTTGTGTGTGCGTGGGCACACGTGGTCCCTTTACTCTTCTGGTGGTGATTTTAAATTATGCAATATTGCTAATTATTCTTCAGGACAAATAGTCTCTATATACCCTATTAAAATGATTTAAAATCTTGAAAGCCATTATTTGATTTCTACTCTTACCCACGTTCTCTGCTTCAGCAAAACTAGTCCCTATATTTTCAAGTCTAAATTTATAGAAGAATAACTTCTCATTTCTGGTATTGCTCGGGTGAATCTCAATGACTGATATCCATTCTGCAGGAAGTGTGTGGAATGCTTTGCTTTGCAATGCTTTGTCTATGGCATAACTAATGTCCTGTCCAAAACAAATATTTCCTTGCTCTTGTAGTCACCTGTATTCTCTTATATTCAATTCCTACTTTATTTAAAATCTATGTAGATATTTCTGTGGCTCTATTAGTTCATCATCCGGCAGTACGGAGTTCTGTAGCTCAGTGGTTAGAGCACTCGCTTTGCAAGTGAGAGACCTAAGTTCAATTCCAGGCAGGGCGAAACCTTGGGCAAGTTTCCTTACTCCACACGCCTAATACTAATCCCTCCAAAAACCAAAAACAACAATAAATTGGTCATTTTCAATCTACGACTGTTTGTGGGACACTGCTGTGCACAATTGGCTGCTGCGTTCGCCCACAAATATACAGTCAATTCACTTTACAGTGTGTTCTGTGAAGCGCTTTGGGACGTCCTCCCGACGTGAAAAGCGCTACATCAAATGCAAGGATTATTATTTATTATTATTACTTTAGAACATAATGATGAATATTAGGGTTTTGCATTCAAGTAATCAACTTGGATGCAATGAAAGTTTGAAATGAGCGTCTTCGCAGCCAGGAGACGAAGTGACGATGGAGTTGAGCAGTGTTGTGGATGTGAGGGAATGATAAGCAAAGGAAAGCCTGGCTTGGAAGATAATTAGGTGTCAAAACAATATATCAATGCTCTGTGAGGTGGAATCAGCACATGTGCATGTCAATGCAGTTAGTGCCTGGGTTGAGAAAGTTCTGAAAGCCAAATGGGAGAGCTTTGGTCTTATTGACATTCAACTAAGGAAAGCTCACCAGGACTTGATGAGGCAGTTTGTCAGAACTGTGGTGGTCCTGGAGTCAAAGTAGACGTAGGGAGATAGATGTTGGTGTCATCTGCAAACCTGTGGAAATGGACACAAGGCCTATGAATAATGTCATAACATAACATGTAGGAGCAGGAGTAGGCCATTCGGCCCTTCAAGCCTGCCCCGCCATTCAATCATGGCTGATCTTCTAATCTAACTCCAGCTAATAACCTGACCCTGCCTTATCCCCATATCCCTGAATCCCTTTTGCAATAAGAAATCTATCTATCTCAGTCTTGAATATGTTCAAGGATTGAGCGTCAACAGCCCTTTGGGGTAGTGAGTTCCATACATTCACCACCCTTTGAGTGAAGAAGTTCTTCCTCAACTCAGTGCGAAAGGGCTGGCCTCTGATTTTAAGGTTGTGACCCCTGGTTTTAGTTTGTCCAACCCGGGGAAACAATCTCCCACTATCTACTCTATCATGCCCTTTGATGATCTTATAGGTTTCTATAAGATCCCCTCTAATTCTTCTATATTCTAGAGAATATAGGCCCAAATTGGTCAGCCTATCCTCGTAATTCATCCCCTTCATCCCTGGTACTAACCTAATAAATTTACGCTGCACCCCCTCCAAGGCAAGTACATCCTTCCTTAAATAAGGAGACCAAAACTGCACACAGTATTCCAGGTGTGGTCTCACCAGGGCCCTATACAGTTGCAGCAAGACTTCCCTACTCTTATACTCTAATCCTTTCATAATGAATGCTAACATACCGTTCGCCTTCCTAATTGCTGCTGCAGCTGCAGACTAACTTTCTGTGATTGGTGTACAAGGACACCCGAGTCCCTCTGGACACTAACACATTCCAATCTCTCCCCTTCTAAAAAATAACCCGCTCTACTGTTTTTGCTGCCGAGGTGGGTGACTTCGCACTTCCCTACATTATACTTCATCTGCCTCCTACCTTCCCAATCACCTAACCTATCTATGTCGCGCTGCATTTTTTTAATGTCGTCCTCTGTGTTGACACTTCCTCCTAGTTTTGTGTCATCCGCGAATTTAGATATATTAACTTCGATGTCCTCATCTAGATCGTTGATGTAGATGGTAAATAGCTGAGGCCCAAGGACTGATCCTTGTGGCACTCCACTAGTCACATCCCGCCAATCCGAAAAGGACCCGTTTATCCCTACTCTTTGTTTCCTACCCGTTAACCATTTCCCAATCCACGTTAATTTGCTCCCCCCAATTCCATGGGCCCTTATCTTTTGGACTAACCTTTTATGTGGCACCTTATCGAATGCCTTCTGGAAGTCCAAATAGACCACATCCACTGATTCACCCTTATCTAGTTGAGTGGAAATGTCCTCAAAAAACTCTATGAGATTTGTCAAACATGACTTCCCTTTTGTAAAGCCATGTTGATTTGGTCTAATTATATTGTGTTCCCCTAAATGCCGCACTACCACTTCCTTAATCAATGATTCTAAAATTTTTCCTATCACTGATGTGAGACTAACTGGCCTATAGTTCCCCATCTTTTCCTTTCCACCTTTTTTAAATAGTGGTGTGACATTTGCGATCTTCCAATCCATGGGGACTGTTCCAGAATCCAAGGAATTTTGGAAGATCAGACATAAGGCCTCCACTATCTCATAAGTTACCTCTTTTAAAACCCTGGGATGCAAGCCATCCGGACCAGGGGATTTGTTCCCTTTTAGTGCTAACAGTTTTCCAGCACCAATTCTCTACTGATGAAAATTTCCCTAAGTTGCTCTCTGTCCTTATCCCTTTGGTGCATCTCTATTGTTAGCACACTTGTTGTGTCTTCTAGGGTGAAGACAGATGTAAAATGCCCATTTAGGGACTCTGCCATGTCCTTGTCCCCCATTAAAGCTTCTCCCGTCTCTGACTGAAGTGGACCTACAAGTGGACCTCACTAGCCTATTCCTCTTAATATATTTGCAAAAACTTTTACAATCAAACTTAATGTTCCTAGCTAGCTTACCCTCATACTCCTTTTTCTTGTTCTTAATTAGTTTTTTATTTTTATTTTTATTTTGCTGGTTTAATGAGTTTTTTAGTTTTATTTTACTGGTTTCATCAAGTAGGAGCATAAAGATGGTGAAAAGGAGAGGTCAAAGGATAGAGCCCTGAGGAAGACTGTGTATGAATGAATTGGAGCTGAGTGGATATTGGAAGAGAACTAGTAAAGATGCTGGGATAGGTAGAAATTAAATCGGGAAAGGACCAGGGAGATGAGGGAGGGAGAAAAGAAGGTGGAGAAGAAAAGAGTGGTCGACTGCGGTAGAGAGGTTGAGAAAAACAAGCAGGTAGGGAGGAATGCGGATGGAATGCAGGCAAAGGAAGTGGGGAAAAAAGGAGCCTTGGAATTTCTGGCCTCTAGGATGAACCTGGAGTAGAAATAATAAATAAATAAATAATCCTGGCATTTGATACAGCACTTTTCACATCTTCTAGAAAGATTATTTGGCTGAGATGAGGGCACAATGGTCGGCTTTGGTGTGGAAAATTAAACTTAGTTTGAAAAATGTGGAGGCTTTGGGTCGATATAGATTCCACTTTCAAGAAGCGTATGGTTAAAACAGATCTATTTTTAAAAAGCACACAAATCAAGTGTGCTGATGGCTGGTCTCAAAACCAAAGAGCATGGAATTACCCATTTTAATGATCCATTTCGTGCATTATTATTATTATTCAGGAACCAATGATGTTACAAAGAATTATGTCCTGTAATACAGAATGGGGGAGAAAATACTGTGGTCCAATTTATGGCGTTTCTTAATACATGAGACTCCACTCTGAAAGTAAATCATGTCTAGGGTGCTGTGACGTATTATATTTGCATAATTCTGTTAAAAGTGGTCCAAATTTGGCAGCGCTATTGCTACCTTCCAGTTTGTATTTTCAGTGGAGGAAAGAGTAATGCAAAAAGAGGCCCTGATCATTTGTTGATCCTCTTGCATCATATTTAGCTTGTAATTACACAACATGCATGGGGATGTCATGTTCAAATTTGACATGCAGCAGGAAGAAGAGCCACCTCAACATACAGTAGAGGCAGGTGGACTACTATCAGCACCAGGGATGGAACATAAAATTCAATATTTAGGCTTGGAGATAAATTGAAGTACTCTACCCGCCTCCATATCTGCAAGAGTAATTGAGGTGTTAAAATAAATCTGAATATCTCAACAGCTGATTAAGACCATGCCAAAGAGAAAATGGATGGTAAAAAGCTCTTACATTTTAAGTCTGGAGAGGCGATTAATGCAGGCTGACTGGTTATAGTGAGTGACCTGATATCTTGTTGGCCTGAGGGTCAGCCACTCCTTCCTGCTGAGTCCCACATTCCTGTGAGGTGACCAGGAACGTAAACCACTCTCATCAGCGTTTGTTTTCAGACATGATCTTTTATTGATTTCGATGGATTGCTTGTGGGAAAAGAGGGATTGCTTCCTTTTAAACAGAAGGAGGAGAAAATGGGGTGGGGGAAGGGAAGGGGACAGGGGTTTAAGACATGAACCAGGAAAGCCAGTATCTGTGTGAATAAATTCCTTCAAAAATGTACCTTGTATATATTTAGCTGAGAATAGAATTGGAAGTTTATATTCATCATCTGTGAAGTGGTGTCTCGATGGGCCAAATTACCCTTTTGTGTTTTGTTCTTTGTTCTCAAGTTCAATCAGCTAGTGGTCCCCATGGCACTTTATTACTCCTTTGCATAAGTTATTTTAGTGCACTGCAGCTGCTTCTAGACTTTGAGAGGGTTTAATACTGTGTCCAGAAATTATTGCCTATATTCTGTTCTCCATGAGCATCTCATGATCTGATGCCAAGCATGCAGTAAGGAAATTAGATGCTTCAATGTATGTGTGTGTGTGTGTAAGGGGGTGGTGGTAAAATCTTTCTCTGTAATTAAGATTACTGCAGATGGGGAACGATTTAACTATCCCCATCTCCTTGCATTATTGCACTGCTATCCAATCCTTAGGTGGAGTCCTGTAGCTCAGTGGTTAAAGCACTCGCCTCACAAGCGAAAGACCTGGGTTTGATTCCCGGCAGGGTAAAACCTTGGGCAAGTTTTCTTACTCCACACGCCTCATAATAATCCCTCAAGAAAAAAACCAATAATAAATTGGTCACTTCAATCCACGACTGTTTGTGGGACACTGCAATTGGCTGCCACATTTCGCCCACAAATATACAGTCAGTTCACTTTACAGTATATTCTGTGAAGCACTTTGAGATGTCCAGAAGACGTGAAAAGCCCTATATCAAATGCAAGGATTATTATTATTATTATTTATTTGCTGCTTTTGTGTGGCTGCACAATGACAGCTAAAATAAACCTTGAATACACGTGCATACTACTTTGGAGACATTCTCATGAAAGATGAGAACGAAACTGCGCAGTATTGTATGTTTATTTTATATTCCTGTAGAGTATGAAAGAAATTATGGGGTAGAAAAAGTGGGGATTTACAAAGGCTTTGTAAATATTGAATCATGCCAGCAATGGCTGTTTAAGCGCTCAGGTATGCTACCCTGCATGCGGGGGCGCTATATAAATGCAAGTTGTTGTTGATGTGTGACGCAGTGATTCACAGGAGCTCCAAAGTGATCACTTTCTGGGTGTAGAATCGGGAGTTAGGTGAAGCATATTCAGTTTCACTGTAGGAATCAATGTTTTTGAAAAAGGTTTGCATTCTGTGGGGAATATTTGGCCCTAGTGTTGCCCTTACAAAACTACAAATGCTAACCTAATATTTCACGATAATAGTCGGCGGTGTTCGAATGGTGATAAATTGTTTTCCTCACAATTTTGGCTAATGTGTCTTATGTACTTTTTTTTGTGATGTATTAAACTAGTATCAATGGTTAACTAGTCCAGACTTGCAGGTAACTGTTAGAAATGAGTACATTTCATTTGGTTAGAATTCAATTGCAAAGGTTAATCATGTTCCATGTGAGTTACTGGACAGAACAGAAGTATGGACAACTTGTTTCGGCCAGTTTGACCTATACTAATAACTGACGTATCCTGCTGAAAGCAATATTAGCAATAGAAGCAATATTGCTTCTAGCAGTAGAGCAGATTTGTACTGCTCACTCTTCATTGTGTTATTTCAACCCGCCTTCTGTGTGCAGAATTGGATCGGGAAAAATAGTGGCCAAGATTCAGAGACCCTGCTCTTTGAAATAATGTCATAGACTTAAAAATCCACTGGAATTTAAGCCCCATCTGAAGAATGGCTTCTCCAGCCATACAGCTGCCAGGAAAAGAATTGTTACAACATAATTGTGGAAGCCACAAGTCAAAATTGTGAACATTCTTACTATACTTAGGATAGATGATAATGATGGAGTAATTTTATCCAAGTTAAGAAAGCTAGTTTAGAATAAGGTTATTAGTCTTGCATGTAGAACATGATCTGAGCAAGCAAGCTGAGAAAGGTAATTTTCTTGCTTTCAAGAGTGACCTTTATATGCGTTCCTTGGGTTTTGTCAAGTTATTTACCTTAGGTATTAAATCACAAATGAGTAATCTTACCCATCCTATTGCATAGCTTTCTCACATTTGCAAATGTATCAGTTTTGAAGTAATGCTTTATAAAACTTTGACGGTGTACGGTGAAAAAGATTAGTTCACCATCATTTTTCTGCTGGGCAACACTGTTTCCCTATGATAGTGTGGATAATTATCGAGAACTGATAGAAATTTCTCCTCTTATAGGTTAGTTAACAAGATTAAGCCAGGAACATGCAAGAAGACCAACCGATTGTCAACACCAATAGCTGGTTTGGTAAGTACATTTTTGTTTAATTTGTACAATATCAAAAAGAATGAATCAATTTTTCTGTTTTTTTAAAAAAAAGAAATAGCAGCAAGGCGGGAGGGAGCAAGGCGAAGGGATTGTAGGATGGAGTTCTAAAGCGTTTGAGCAGAGAGGCTGAAACACCAGCCACAGAAGGTAGGGCAAGTTGGGCGAGAGACCTGGAGCAAGCCAGAGCCTGCCAATCAATAATGATCCTGGCATTTTCTATTTGACACATAGCAACCTTTTGGGGGGGTCTGTCAGGTATCTGACAATTACAGAAACCCATTACCTGGCACCCACCCCCAGCTTGGGTAAAAATTCTCGACTGTTAAGACCTTGAGATGTCCTCACAACATGAATATAAATGTAAACTTATATTGAATTGTATTGGATAACTATGCTTAAGAGTATCCAATTCAGACTGAGTTCCACATATGTATGGCACCAACAAATGGAAATGTATCTGGAATAGAATACCCACTTTTTTTCTGGAGGAACACACACCCTGCTTACTTAAATTGGGAGAGGATTAGGCACAGGTTTGAGGACCCAGAATGGTAATCTGATTTATCTAGACATGAAAATAGTTTAATCATCTACTTTTATGGTAGGAATAAATTCATTGCAACTTCTTGTTTGAGAGAATATATTTAATGATGTGGATTTCAGATGTAACCTTCATTGCATGGATACACTCAAGTTTTTTTGTCTTGTTAATAATAATCCTTGCATTTTGCATTTGATATAGCGCCTTATCGTGTCTTTGAGGCGTCTCAAAGCGCTTCACTGTATAGTATGTGGGCGAAATCCAAGTTAACCCAGCTGGCAGCTGTCTTTCCCCAACTAGTTAGTCGAATAATTATTAATTGCTATTGATTGCCATAGTATGAGGTTCTTAGTTGATTTAGAGAAAAATTCAGTGGTAATTTTTTCAGGATACACAGAGCAGTAACATGGAGAATCTGCAAAAGAGCTTGAGGCTAAGAGGATGTGTTGTTTGCCCCAGATGCTGTACAAGCATGTCCTGCTTTTTAGAGGCATTGTGATGTGGTATGTGGAGACTAAGGAAAGTTTGGAGGAGTCAACTTATTCTAGGGTGTAGCCTTCATTTTTTGAATTCAGAATACTTCACATACCACATTTCTTACGCTTTTACTATTTTTGGTGACGTGTTGGATTGAGGGTCCTTTTTCGGTGTATTTCACTTTTCTTAAGCCAACTCCCCACTTGCAGGCCTTGCCAACTCTTCCCTCCACAAACTGCAGATCATTCAAAATTCTGCAGCTCGTGTCCTCTCCCACACCAGGCGCCATGACCCTCTGAGGATAGAGTTCAAAATCCTTGTCCTCGCCTTCAAGCTCCCCACGGCCTTGCTCCTTCCTACCTCTGTGACCTGCTAACCCCATATCAACCTGTCCGATCACTCTGCTCAGCAGGCTCCAGCCTGCTCCATGTCCCCTGCCTAGTCCGCCCCGGCATTGTCAGGCGGGCATTCAGCCTCTCTGTCCCCACCCTTTGGAGCTCCATCCCATATTCCCTTTCCCTCGCTCTCTCCTTTGCCTCCTTCAAGGCATGTCTCAGGACCCTCCTCTTCGATTGTGCCTTCGGCCACCTTCCTAACCTCCCTGCTCTCCTCTCCTCATCAGGCCCAAATCCCTGTGTATCCAGTGCTTTGGGACATCCACCCGATGTGAAAGGCATTTTACAAATGCTTGTTGTTGTTCTTTCTTTTCTCTTCCCTCTTTCTCTCTCGGTCTCGCTGTCTCTCACATGATTTATTTTGGTTCTGGAGAATAACTCATTTTGTATAACAAAACTTCTTGAAGGATTAATGTTCAATCCTAATCCTTTTCATCTTTAACTTTTTTTACAATCATTTTAAACACTTCAAAATAGTTAGTTCATTTCTTCTGACCTTTCACAGTAACTGCCTGACTTTACTTTGATCTTCATCTTATAATTGGGATGCAGCTTCCCTTCTCTTTCTCCTCTTTCTGATTGTTGCATTTTAAGATGAACAAAATGAAGATTGTGTTGAAGTAATGAACTATAATTGTAGCTTTGTTGCTGAGCTGGCGCTCCGGAATGCTGGAGTGTGACTGAAAACGCTGAACAATTTTTCCCCCTTAAGTAAATGTGGTGACCTCTGTTGTGATCACAATTGCTTAATTTCTTAGATAAATAAAGGTTGCCGCTGAGGTCTTGCTTTATTGGGCAATGTCGAGACTAAAGAGTTGTTTTAGCATTTCAAAGATATGTTGAAATAGCTGAAGGATTACTGTATTGTTCACAATTGTTATTTGTTGCATTTTTTTTCAGCCTTTCTCTTTGGTTGCCATTATTTGACTCCCATGCTATTGGGTGTGACCATCCCTGATCAGTACACTTTTTTATATATGCTATCCTAAAATTCCTCAGTGTACCTACTGAAAATAGGTTGATTTATTTGAGCAGTGTGAAGAGCCCAATTCTGAGAGGTTTTTTTTGGAGGGTGGGGGCACTTTACTGTATGTATTTGTGGCCCTCTTGCGCACCACGCATAGAATTTATCAACTGAGTTATTGTGATGCTGGTACGTTTTTAACTTATATATTGTATAACATTGGACTACAAATAAAGAAGCCCTTTGCCCTATAGAAAATCAATGCATTTAAATCAATGCATTCTTCCATTATAATTGCCAATCAAGTGTTTAATACTTATGTACAATATTGACACATGCATAAAATGTATTTTTCATTAACCTGTCCATTTTCTACACAAGAAAGTTGAGAATCCTTACTGCATCATCCATTGACTCTGAACTTCTAATCTGATCTGCATTCTTTTCAATGATTCCAATATTTTCTCGACAGCCTTGACTTCCTTCAATCCATCTATTGCTCTATTTCCCACAAAAGCACCGTGTCTTTACCTTGGTGTGTTTCTTGGCACTTGCTTAAAAAAAATGAATAATGGCGTAAGGTGTGAAAGTCAAAGGATCTAATGAGGAAAAGAAAGGAGATTAATGTTGTACTTATATAGTACTTTAGCTCTGAATTGCTGCCAAACATGCAGGGTAAACAGAGGCTGAAACGGCAAGAGTCGGACCGGAGCCCAGCTCTTAATGCTACGTTAATAATAATCCTTGCATTTGATATAACACCTTATCATGTTTTTGAAACTCTCAAAGCGCTTGTAAAGTGAATTAACTGTATATTTTCTGGTCAAAACATGGCAGCCATTTGCGCACAGCAATGTCCCACAAACAATCATGGATTGAGTGACCAAATTATTATGATTTAATTTGAAGGGATTATTACCCCTGATAAAACCATCTGCCAATCGACTAACAACCAGGTTCCTAGTTATCTGTGTTCATGCACAATGCCAAGGCTGGTCATGTGATTGGAAAGTGCTGGCCACAATCACACCTCATCATAAAACAGATTGCGATTTTATGGACCTCGAATTACTGGATTATAAACGGGTTCTATTTTATCTAGCTTTTAATGCACATTTTAGCTCCGATGGCCAAAAGTTGATTTTCTACAATGCATTATCTAGTTATCAGACAAATATCAACACTGTCAAGTGGAAGTTGATCTTATTCACTCCAGTTTCAAACTCTTAGATTTTCTCTTGTATAAAATTGGCTGGAATCTTAGAATGAAGCTCTAAGCTTTGAAAAGTATATGGTGGGCACCTTGTATACAATGATATTTTCAAAGTGTGCTAAATGTTCCCTACTTCAGTGTTGCAAATGTTAATCAGTGACTGAAAGGGAGTGTCAGTCATTATCCTTATTTTCGTGGTAAAGCAAGGTATCCATTAATATTTTGGTGCAGTGGAGGCAATTACCCAGGAGATGATTTTAATAATAATCCTTGCATTTAGCACAGAGCCTTATCAAGTCAGAGGATGTATCAAAGCGCTTCACAGGTTTTACTGTGAAATGGAGTGACTGTGTTTGTAGGCAAATATGGCAGCACAATTGAGCACAGCAATGTCCCACAAACAGCCATGAAACAAAAGATCAATTTTATTTGGGGGATTGTTGGCCAGGACACTGGGAGAAAATTCCTTCACTGTTCAATTAGTGTTATGGGATCTTTAATGTCCTCCTGAACAGATAGACAAGACCTTGGTTCAATGTTGCATCTGAAGGACGACATCTCTGACAGTGCTAGACACTCTCAGCACTGGATTGGAGTGTCAGCTTAACTATGTGAGTTTAAATCCTGATTTGGGACTTGAACCCACAGCCTTGATGATAGATTTACTGACCTGAGCAATACTAATTGCGCTAATATTGTTAGCAGAACTCAACTGTTAGGCTTTGGGTCAGCTTGTTGTGCTTTGCTTGATTTAAAGAGGAAACTGTTTTGAAATGAGTTACTGGATAGTGCAAATGTTGTTTGTCTTTTGAGATTTTATTCGCCTAAATAAAGAAAGTTTGATCATGTTGTACAATATTTTTAAAACAAAATTGGACATGTAATACTTTGGCTCTACTTCAAAGCATTGGAAAATGCAGCACAGTAGATAAACGATTGTTCCCCCTTTAAAATACAGCAATTGTGTATTGCTTCTGAGCATGTGATTTATGGCTGATTTATGTGAGTAATCAGCGTAAATGGGTACTGGTTAAAAATCAGGATTAACATAAAACATTAGTCCATCCAGTGCACTTAGTGTCCACTCGTCAAAAAACAACAAACAAAATCACATTTGTAAATCACCTTTCATGTCTGGAGGACGTCCCAAAGGCACTGAACAGTCAGGGATCAGGACCCGAGTGTGGGAGGCAGGGTTGGGATGAGGGAGGGCAGACAGGTCGGAGGGCGGCTGAAGGCACGGTCGAAAAAGAGCCTTGACTCAAAAAAGTTCTCTTTCCCCCCCCTTTATGGTTATATTTTCAGAAAAGTTAAAGTTTCTGAATGACAGATTGAAATGAGCAAAATTTTAGGTTATATCCCTGCAGAGTCGATTTTCAATTTCTAAAAATACTAGGGTTTTTAAAACTTCAAATTGGCTTTAAAAAAATCCACTTAAAATAACTCTGGATTCCACAACTAAAGCAAAGCACATACCAGAACAACACTCCCAATTATGTTCATCATGTCTCATGACATTTTCAGGCTTCAGTTATTTCAAGATTAATGACTTAGGAGTGTAGTTTCTGTTCCCATAGTTTGCTGTTTCTTTTACTGTATTGAAGGCTCTCTCCAAAGATGTGGCATAAAGTTAGCACAGGTATACAGGGTGACTCCCAGTTATAATATCGTGTTTTGGATCTGTAAAATTTAACCCTGCTTCGTAACATATCTGCAGAAGAAAATGCCCATCAATCCCCCTTCAGGGTCATCAGGTAACCAGAAGTTACTTCGAGTAACCGTGGGTCCACACACCTGCTTGATAAGTGAACTTGCACGCTAGACAGGTTGCCCTGTATATTATCAGCAGGTATATTTATAGATACGTGTGTTCAGAGATTATATTGATCTTGTATATAATCAGGCTAGCTTCTGTGGGTTCCCTTTTTTGGCTTTACTGTTTTGGAAAGGCATAATGTGAGGAAGAACAGTCATTTTTCCAGCCATTTCTGGCTTAGCATCAGAAGTGATTTCCATTTTTCTCTTCCTCTTACTGCTGATGCTGCAATTGTGCTATGCTGTGCAATTTCAGAGCTGAGATCACCTTGGCAATGTAATTTCAGCAGCATGTTATATTACAGTAGGGAAAATTCAAACATATAGTGCTTCTATTCTGACCCACTCTCAAATGATTCCTTAAAAAGGTCCATTGGATTGCTGAAGAGCTTTCATGAGCTAGTCCTGTGACCATCTCTTTTTAACTATTTTACTTTTTTTTAGAATTCTGTATATGCACTTAGCAGAACTCAATTCACTGTGAATTTTAAAAATGCATTCATAACGATGTAAGAGAAAGACATATTCAGACTTTCCACTATGTAATGTCGCTTTGCTATCAGCAGTTTAAATGGGACAAAATTACTATTTGGAAGGGCATCCGCCTTCTTATTTTAAATGGTTGCAGATGGTAAATTTGTCAATTCCATGCAAACATTTTGCTTTGCCTTGCTTTCATTGAGAAAGCTAATTAATAGGTCTTGTTTTGAAAAAATATAATAATCTTTCTTTAATCTTCTCTAATTTTCTTGCATTTGTGCCAGATCAAGTGAAGAATTGTGAAACGCTGTCTAAACACAGAAATGTGTTTTAAATATTTTTTGAAACTCATTGTTTTGCATAGTGGTTTGTTTTCATAAAGCACTTATTTTGGAGTTGTTTGAACAGAACTGTGAGAAACAGCTTTTTGTATAAAAAAGAGTGCTTGTGGTAGTGAGGTTTGAGTACTACAGAAAGGATTTACTGTATTAAACTTATACCATTGTGATGGTGGGCACTTTGATCTTGAAAGGCATCAAGAATCAAAGATCTCAAGTGTTTGTGTAGTTGTTTATCATGACACATCTCCACATGTGTGTAACGTGTAGCATAAGGCTGAGCTCAAAGTACAAAAATATTTAGCTTTTGTTCCCATTATTTCAGTTGAAGGCTCCCATTATTTAAGAGGAGATGTTTTCTGGCAAATTTGTGGATGAAAGTCCTTTGTGCACAAAGTAAGGGTAACATACTGAGAAACCTTTTCAACCAGCGACTGCATTAAACTTTATCTCCCTCTCCCTCCTCCTCTTCACCCCCCCCCCCCCCCCCCACTCCTCCTTTTGCATTCAATTTGGTGTAGTCTATGGATCAAAGTCCCAGGAAATACAACAATGCAATTTATATAGTGCCTTTCATGTTAGGAGGACGTCTCGAAGTGCTGGACAAGTCTGGTTGGGCACCTGAGCTAGGGGTGAGAGTCGGGGGTGGTGGTGGGGCGGAGCAGGGAAAAGGTGACCAAAAGTATGGTCAGAGGTAAATTTTGAGACTTCTTGAACAAGAAGAGGGTGGACAGTGAAGTGCTTATAGAACTTATTTTTTAAGCTAACATTTTGCAGTTGATGTGAACCCTGCCCCAAATATCTTATTTTGTCAGAAACGTTGTGACTTATTGGACTTCACATAGTTTCCAGCAATTACCAGTCATATAGACGTGGGTAATGTTTACAAGCAGCAGCAGCACAAGTGATTGTTTTATGGATTTTCAATGGTTCACACGGTCAATAGTTTAAAAAAATATTTCCTGCATTTTTAAAATTTTTGTATAGTAATTTGCATGATGCGCTTCATTGTGATTTGGATGTCAAATGGCTGCTTAGTGACTATCCTTCATCTGGGGAGAGCCAAGGGAGGTAAGCTATAGCTGACTCTATAGTGATGCACTTGGCAATGGAATGTCAGAATTGAGTCGACTGGGGTGCTCTTGGTAATCCTTTTCTGAGGCAGGTGGGTCTGCAGTGCTCCCAAGACAATGGTGATGACAGCTGGGCTTGTCAGGAGGATTTAGAGAGGCAGACATTGGGAGCAGGGATTCTCTCCACTAGGCTCCTGTTAACCCTATAAACCAAAGCTCTTCAATAGACCGGGAGATCCGAGCTGGACAAGCATCAGAAAGCTTGTCAGATCAGGGCTTACGGTGGCAAGCTCTGTGGCTTCAAACTCCCAACATTACTGCAACACACTCTCTTGGCTCCCAAGTTTTGCCATTGTCTGCCAAATACTATCTGGAATTAGGCAAGTCGAGTGTTTTCCACCCCATGGAGAGAGTGCACATTCCAAATCGGACATAAGGACATTTGCGTGGCTAGGTGCATATATATATAATATATAATATGATATTCTAGTTTGGATACTCTTAAGCGTGATGGTTGTTTTCTGCATATGTTAGACACCTGGGAATAAAAATAAATAAATTGAACAAGCATTTGAAAGGTGTTGATGTTTCACTTTTGTTGAATTAAGCGAAGTACTTTAATTTTTTAAGAAAGTAACCTGTGGTATTTCTTAACAAGGAATCCGGTTAGAATTTACACTGCCATGTAAGAACTCCATTCTAGAAGTAGATCACACCAGATAGAGATTCCAGAAGTCAGCTTGACACAATTCCAGTTACTGGAACAAATCCTTCTTTGCGCAACACAGATTCTTTATTCTGGAATCCCGCAAATTAAATTCCTACTGATCGAACAGTGTAGAAATGTTATACTGTTTAAAATATCTTGAAACTATCATAAACCAATGCTGCTTGGGCTAGTGGTGATGGTGAGAGGCAAATAATTAATCTCAAACTTGTACATAATGGGAAGCCATTTGTACTAAGATTGTTCTGGCTATACTTTTGTTTCTGTTTCAAAGTCCACACCACATTGCTGCACGTAGTTGTGTTCTGTCATTACACAAAAACATTGTTTTATTTTCATGGTACCTTCCAGAGACTGTCGGGCTTGCTTTTTGTTGCTGCAACAGGAATTCTTTTCAGCAGTTTGCTAGCCAGCAGGTGCAGTAAATGTTGCATGATACTGTGTCTTACCTAAACATTGTGCAATGTACTGAATGTCGCATTAACTCCTACCCTTGCAGGAATGTTGCCCTTAGTTACCAAACCCAGAATCCAGGTGTATCTAACATGTTCTATAATTATGAGAGTGGCACATTAGGTGGAAACTTCCTTGCCTTTCATTTTAAACTGCAGGCAGTTTCTGGGTGGGTGGCTGTTGACAGCAAGTGGTTTTTTTTATATATAGACTGCAGAGGTAATACTCTGTGTCATGCAAACTAAAAGGAGGGTGGAATGTTTATGCAATTCAGCTGACGTCAGAAACGGTAGCTGCCCACACACTGTTCAGTCATACTATAACAGGTAATGTCCAAAGTGCCACTTAGTTACATGACCAACCCACGTCCGTAGATGAAATATTGTCGGTTAGTGCTTATTCATTGGAGGATTGATCTCTCTTTTTCTATTATCCTAGCTTTGAACTTTAGAGTAAAGGACTTTAGACTGAGTTAGTTTCCTTCTTCTGTCTAACTCAATAGTTCATTTACTTCAATTTTTCAGGACAACATTAATGTTTTCCTGAAGGGTTGTCAGAAACTTGGTTTGAAAGAAGCTCAGCTGTTTCACCCAGGAGACCTCCAGGATTTATCAACTCGCGTCACTGTCAAGTAAGTGCTGCTTTGTATTTAACTAACAAACTGATTGGATTGATTGCCTATCTGAGTGTAATCAAAACTGTTGAATTTGCGTGGGTCTTGCCTTGGCTCTAAAGCTGGTGTTTGCATATTAATTGAATTAAATGTGTATAAAGTTTTCAATTTAATTTTTATTTTGTGTGTGGGAGTGGAGAGAGTAATAGAAAGGGAACAAACGTTGTCAACATTTTGTAATCAACATTTTACGTATTACTGGTGTAAGAGTGAATCATTTTGAGCATTGTATTTTATATTCTCCCTTGTGGGTAAAATTCAGAATAATTTCAGTTTTTATTTGATGTATTCAAACACGTGGCTTCTCAGTTTACAAAAACTTCCAGCGTAGTTTTCTTGAAAGATCAGTATTCAGAGAGAAAGATTATAATGCGATTTTGTTATTTATGAAGGCATTCAAGGTAAATGGGAGGGGAGTGGATAGACTGTAGAAAATCATCAACCCCAGTAATGGTTCAAATGCTGTTCCCTAAATGGATTAAAAAAATCAGTAGCTCTGGAGTGAGGGACTATGAACACTGTGTGCAGCAGTTTTTTGGTGTGTGTGTGTGTGTGTGTGTGAGTAAGCCAAACTAAAGCTTATTTTTTATACTGAGTAGTCAATATCAATTGAACCATATATTTTGTGTCATATAGAGTCACTATAAAAATAGAACCTTATATTTTGTGGCATATTAAGCAAATAAGAAAGAAAAGAATTGTTAATGGTAAAGGACCGTTCTGGGCCCAGCATCAGAGAAGTTTTTCACGATTTAAAAAAATTAAATTTTGTTTTCGAACTTATCACTAAAGTGCTTTAAAGGTATCTTGAATAACCTGTTCTGACATTAACTGTAAGTGAATGTGGTTGAACTAGTTTCTGTTCGGGTTGCAACGAAAAGTGAGAAAGTAAGTCCATTAACCTTTGCCCACACTATCAGTTTGAACTCTTGTTGAAATACCAGTAGGTTAGATTACTTACTACTTACTACGTGCAACTTTGTTGAATGGATAAAGTGCTTTAATAGTGACGGCTATAATTCTAGATTAATGGATTTAGTGCATCAGGAAATTTGAAAGGCATTCATTCTGTAGATCTTCACCAGCTGTTTTAACACAATTGCGACCGTAAGTCTTAATTTAGTTCTGAAGTAGTTGTTTGGGTGAATGCAGTTGCTAAAAACTGATTTAACTGAACTGCATCCTAAAGGACAAATTTAGAAGTGTTTTGGATTTCAGTGTATGAAAACTCCTTTAATTGCTAGGAAATATTCATTAGCACAATATAACTGTAGTAAATTGAATGGGGAGAAAAAAATAGTTATTGTAAACTAGCTAGATTGATGGTGAAAATGTTCAGGGAACTTGATCCATTCACAAAGGTCTGCTCTCCTGAGTCAGATTATAACTTTGTTTTGGTACGATACATCAGTATCACTCAAATTCCAGATGTATAACATCAGAATCAATTCATCTGTTGAAGTGTGGAGAAACCAAATGTGTCATTCCATCAGATTGTGCCTTCCCTGCCCCTCTTCATTTCTCAATAGATTATATCCATGACACATAGGCACTTGCTGTTTTTATATTTCACCATCTTTAGCACTTAACTTTTCACAATATATGTTAGTCATTCAAACAACTCCTGCAACATAATGTCAACTGCAAATTTGCTATGATTTTTAAATGCCCAAATTTATTTTACTGCTTGATAGTTATGGGCAGGTTACACTTGCCTCTGTTGGTCAATGTATCAGTAGCTTATTGGCATGAGGGGACTTGTTGAAGCCCTCTTGAAGTTTCATCCAGTATTACAACAGATGAGACAATGGCTCTGCAGAGGAAATTTCAAGACTGTAGGGATGGGTCTCGACATAACAACAAGCCTTGCTGATAGAATACAAATTTACATTTATTTTATACAGTGCTTTTCACATTGGGAGGACAACCCAAGCCATTTAACAATACTGGCTTGGCACCCTAGCTGGGGTTGGAAGCCAAGGGGGTGGGGAGGGGAAAGATGACCGAAAGCACGGGTGAGTGTACACCAGTAATAATAATAATAATATTCCTTGCATTTGGGTCTTTCACGTCAGGAGGACATCTCAAAAGACACATTTCATAAGAGTGTAAGCCTATATTTGGAGAAATTCCCTTCTCTTTTTGAATTGTGCCTTGGAATCTTTAATGTCACCTGAACAAGCATATTGGATCTCGGTTTAACATCTCATCCAAAGGATCCATTGTTGGCTACTCCAACAACATGCCCCAGCATTGCATCAGATGTTGATCTAGATGATATGAATTCAAATACCAACAGAGGGCATGAACCTGTCACCTTCTGTCTTGGAGGCGAGAGTGTTATTAACTGAGCTAATGCCTATTGATCAGTAAGAAATTTGTTGGGTTTCATACATATCACTAGGAACAAAATACAGGACCTTTCACTCTAATTTGTTCAGCTCACTGAGGCATCAAGATGTGTCTGTCCTAGAGCACGTGCATACATGACTTGGAGCACTAGATATGATATGGAAAGTGTTCCACCTCAATTTAATGCTAATATATTGGTGGCTGAAACTATTTTGAAATGTGAAAATTTCACAGTCTAATGGAAGCCATTGTATGACTGTGTATTTGTCTTTGTCTTGTCTGTGGTGTATGCGAATATTTAGAAAGGGTCTGAAAACTTGCCTTTCGTTAATAGATCCTTAACTTGGCACCATGATCTATGAAACTATTCAGAATACCTGTAGTCGTTAATGTCTAAACAGTTGCAATGGTGCCTTAAAAGAAGTGATTGACATTACTGATTATAGATAAATGTCAAACCATACACATCACCTTTGATTCACTTATAATCTGAATATTCAAATCAAGGTGAAGTAGGAAAATATTTAGGAGTGGCTTTATGGCAAGAGCATATCTTAAAGAAGAGGTGGCTTATTAACCGAGCCTGGTACTGCTGTGGAATTCGTCCTGTTTGCATTGCTGGGTGTGTTCCACAGCGGAGACGATAACCAAGGAATGGCCAGTAATATTCATTTTGAAACTTCTGTTTGTGACTTTCATTTTGGGTTTCTTCATCTGTGGGCGGGGGAAAGGACAAACAGTTCAGGCTGCAGATGTGACAGATGCTGTGTTCCAAACATTTAGGCCTAATATCTATCAATTCGGGGATCAAATGTGCAAAAGAACTCTGATTAGGTTTCTACTTCAAGTTGAACTGGAGCCACCTGAATATTGAACAGGGCTTAGCAGTTGGAAAATGCATCTTGAATATCATATCATGCTGCTCTGGATGACTTGCAATTTATGCGATCTACCTGTTTCTTAGCAACACCCATGTTATACAAAGTCTACCACACCCAGTAATGGCAAGTTATAATATTAGGCTTTTTTGATGAGTAACATAACTGCTGGATTGTGTAGCCTACAATTGTTCGGATGAGTTTGCTAGATAAAGGGTGGCTTCTTGTATGCATTCCCAACCTCAACAGTATAAGAACTATCAAAGTTGAACTACATCTTAATATTCTATATTGTCTACACATCTGCTCCTTATTTTGTAGTTAATGATCCTCTAGTAAATCAGGGTTGAATAATAATAATAATCATTGCATTTCATAAAGCGTCTTATCATGTATTTGAGACGTCTCAAAGCACTTCACAGAATAGACTGTAAAGTGAATTAAAGTGTATATTTTGTGGGCAAAATGCAGCAGTCAATTGCACTCAGCAGCGTCCCACAAACGCTCGTGGATTGAATTGACCAATTTATTATTTTTTTTTGAAGGAATTATTACGCCTGGAAAAGCAATCCACCAATTGACTGGGTTCCTACTTACTGCTAGGTAAATGGAGGCGTGTGGAGTAAGGAAACTTTCCCAACATTTCGCCCTGTCTGGAATTGAACCCAGGTGTCTTGCTTGTGAGGGAGTGCTCTAATCACTGTAGCTACAGGTCTCCACTTGTTTGCAATGGAATGAGTCCTGGAATGCGTCATTGCTTCCCAGCTTCGCTCCTTCCTCTCCCGCCACTCCCTTCACGAATCTCTCCAATCAGGCTTCCGTGCCACCCATAGCACAGAAACAGCTTTAGTCAAAGTGACAAATCACACTTTCTCCTTCTGTGACCAGGGCTCTCTCTGCTTCCTCGTCCTCCTTGACCTCGCTGCTCCCTTTGACACCGTCGACCACTCTATTCTCATCCACCGCCTCTCCTCTCACCTCAACCTTCATGGTTCTGTCCTTGAATGGTTCAGATCCTACCTCACACTATCTCCACTTCGTCTCCACAAATGGCTTCTCCTCTATCCCCCAACACCGTCTTATGCGGAGTTCGTCAGGGCTCTGTCCTTATCAATATCTGTATGGTTCTTCTTGGTGAAATCATCTGCAGAAATTGAATAAATTTCCACATGTATGAGGATGACACCCAACTGTACCTCTCTGCCTCCAATCTCGACTCCAGGATCACTGCTGTCCTGACAGAATGTCTGTCAGACATCAGGTCCTGGATGAGAGCTAACTTTCTTCAGTTGAACGTCAATAAGACTGAGGCTCTCCTGATTGGCTCCCGTCAGTGCCTCCACACATCAGGCATCACCATGCAAGGATGCACACTCCATCTTACTAAGCCAGTGTTGTTTGGTGTCTTGTTTGACCCTCAATATTCTTTCTACCCCACATTTGTGCCATGACTTGCTCTGCCTTCCCCCACCTCTGCAACATCATCCGGATCTCCCACTGTCTCACACCGCAGGCTGCTGAGACCCTCAAACATACATTCATAATATTCAGGCTTGACTACACAAACTCCTTGCTTGTTGGCCTCCCCAACTACTCCCTCCATAGGCTGTAGATCATCCATAACTCTGCAGCCCATGTCCTCTCCTGCACCAGGCTCCGCGACCCTTTCACTCCCATCCTAACCTGACACCACTGGCTTCCCATCACACAGGGGATACAGTTCCAGAT